ATATTATTTATTTAATATATTTAATAATATTATTTATTTAATATATTATTACATGTTTTCAAAAATTAAACCACCAAACGCAGTTTCAGTTTTTTTTAAAACTGAAATCAATCTCTAAATAAAACTACCAAACGCATTTTTAGAAATAATTCAAAAATGAAACTAAAAACGTTTTCATTTTCATTTTCGTACAGAAAATAAAAACGTTTTGAAACCAATTCCAAACGCACCCTTTGAGTTCTAATCCCCCGCTTTAAGTTAACAAAGAAAATTAAAAAAAAAAAAAAAAAAAAAAAGTCTATGAGTACTTGTTTTCACTATCATCACATAAATTTTAATATCAAATTAAGAAGATTTAATGAATGGAGAGGAAAAAATGGAAAACAAAAAAATTATCACATCACTGTCCATATCCACCATCAACTATTTGCAATGCAAATCAATCGTTACTAGTGAGCAAATTTCAAAAGACGTCACAATCAAAATTAATATTTTCAATTATTTTGTCAAAATATTTAATTCATTTGACAGCTATATATACCCAAGTCCCTCTAGACTGTACTATTTCCCCTAGCAATAAAATCACCAAAAACAGAAGGAAAAAAATACATAAATATCATGTTGGCCTTTAAAACTTTTTTTTTTTTTTTTTGCATTATTAATATTGAACCAACACGGCAACACCATAACCCTTTTTCTTCTTTAAAAAATAAAAGAAAAAACAACAACAAACACACCCTTTTTAGAACAAAAAAAAAAGCTTTTTAACGTATTATATTCTAAAGATGGGAATGGCGATCCCATTTGATTTGATAAATATATGTCAAGTTAAAAAATAAAAAATAAATAAATAAGTTAGAGAAAATATTAAAGTTACAGTACCTGATCACCATTGTCACGGTTGGTAGGAAGCTTATTGCCAGCGGTATTCTCCACCTTAGAAACTTCGACAACAGCGCAGTCACGGTGACCCGCACCCTGATCTGCTGCTTCACGGCCTAGGATAACAACCCCTGCACCGCCGTTGCTACCATCTGAACCAGTTTTTTGCACCATCAAGACCGTCCAAAGCTTTATCCAAGACACCAATATTGCCAAATGGTTGATTATAGTTCTTAACAAAGCTTGTTATATGTTCTCTATCAAAGGCATGAGAGAGAGAGTGGGGGAGAGAGAGAAGAGAGAGAGGGTTGAGATAAGATCAACAAGGCTTGGACCAAGTGTGATATAAGTCTCTTGTTGTACTACTAGTCCTATATATATATATATATATAATATATGTGTGTACAATTTTAGCATTTTTATATTGGTTTAATATTTTAGAGTTTTTTTATTTTGTTTTATTTGTGGGGGTGTGATTTGGCTTTATTTATAGAAGAGCACAAAAATGGGGGATTAGCAGTTTACATCAGAAAATGAAATGTGGGAGAGGGAGAGAGAGGAAAAGAGGGAGGGGGGTTGGGGTTGCAATTGCGCCGGCCGCAATGAGTAGGAGTGCGTCTCACAAGATCAAACGTGTGGGGGCAAAACTTTGAAAATGCGTTTCCATGCACTCCAAAATAATATGTTTAACACGCATGCTCTACTTTCTTTTCTTTTCTTTTCTTTTCTTTTCTTTTCTTTTCTTTTTGAGGCTTGATGAAATGCTTTTCATCTGACCTTTCATAAAAAATAAAAAAAAAGAACAAAAAAAAAAGCTTCTTCATCTGATGACTCTAAAACATACAATCGTCATATGATATCTCTATCAAGTTCCGTCAATTATGCATATTTATTTATTTATATTTGTGATTTTGATCATATTTAATATTTATAAACATGTACCAAGTGAATGTCTTATATATCGTGAAAAGCTCTTTTTCATTATTGTAAATTAATTAGCATATAAATTCAACCTCTAAATGGATAAGTGAAAAAAGCATGTAGTGATCATCCCTTATGTTATGTCATCATGGTCACTTAAAATTGAATTGAGATCTTAACTTAGAATCCCTACTCAAGAAAAAAAAAAATGTAAAAAGAGAAATATCACCTTTTGCCGCAATAGCGAGCATAATTTCTATATTTATGTTATCTTCACTATATAGAAAGCGCTATGATCGCTTTCTATTTTCAACCAAAACGTCGTTTCTTGTTGAACCTTTTGAATCAAAATGACACAGTTTAGGGCTTAGGGTTTAATCATTTCTTTTTATTTTTTAGTCCCTCTTGTCCTTTCTTTTTATCTTTTGGCTCCTCTTTTTTTTTTTCTCTTTCTTTTTTTGGTTCTTATTATTTGACTCTCTTTTTTCCTTTCTACTTTTCAGTCCTTGCTTTCCTTTTTCCTTATTTTTTATTGTTTTTTTCTCTGAAACATTTATCTTTTCATTTTAAGTCCTTTTTTATCTTTTTATTCCTTTGTCTTAAAACTTTTTTTTTTTTTCATTTTGCTTCCTTTTTTATTTATTTATTTTTTTAGATTTTATGTTCAGATTTTATATGCTTTTAAATGCGTCTCATTTTTAAAACTTTATTGTGACACACATTTCCCTCCTCTATACTTTATTTAATTGTAATTATTATTTTTTTAGTACATGTATTCTCTCTTATTTGTTTCTGATGGGTGTTTTTAAAATGTGATTTTCTATTACTTTACTCCTATTAATATAATTTCTTTCATGTATGTTCATGCTTAATTTTTTATTTTCGTTTTGCCAAAACATTCACTACAATGTTATCCTTTTTAATGTACTTCTTTTAAATAATTTTTTACCTAGTGTTCTCATTGAAATACATTTTTTAGATGCGTTCCTTATTAATTTTTTCTTGTGTAGTCCTTGTTATAGTAATGGTGATACTTATAAAAATATTTGTGTTAATTGCGTATTAATTAACTAACTAATTAAATTTTTTATTATTAAATAAATTTTTAAAAATAATAACACGGTAATGAATTTAAAGAGACCATTTTGCAAGCGCCTGATCTGAGTCCACCTACATACTTTATTCGTTGTGGTACCATCTTTCGAAACTTAAATAAGACAAATTAGCAAAAATTAACGCTACTATTTTGTTGCCTACTTTTGGACTAATACGAGTTAATTGTCTCACGTATTTTATGATAAAATAGATTCACTGATGTTTATCTAAATAACCGAAGTAATTGAGTTGGTTAAACATCCTTTCATCAGTGGATGCAAGCTTAACAGCCAAATTAGCTACAATTTTGCCTTCTGTATTTTTGTGGGGAGTTTCGTAATGAATTTGTGTTTAGCTGCATAGAGAAACAAGAATAACTTCCACCTTTTACAAGACTAAAATAACAGAAAATTTCTTTTTTTAAGGCCTCTGCAAACTTTTATCGAGGTTGCATCCCGACTTTATGGGTGTCATGTGTATGTACGCAGAATCGACGTGTAAAATTCTCTCTCTACATATACACACGCAAACACATACAAATACATGTAATACAAATATATATGATGAATCTTATTTATGTATATAGGAACCTTTCTACGGATTTCGCCGTAGGAAGGCCTCCGACACAGTATGTAGAAGTGAAAAACGTAAAATGACATTAAACATAATATTAACAGTGAAAAGATGTAATATAATGATTTGTACCTATTCAACGTCAATGTTACGTTTAATGACTATTATATTACACTTTTTAATTCTAAATCATGTCAGATGGACTTCCAACCAAAAAAACGGTTAAAAAAACCTATATATAGCTCGTAAAAGTAAAAGTTGAGGAATACATTAGTTTATTTCACGTAATAATAACATGTAACAAGTGGTATTCATTATCCTTGTTTTTTTTTTTTTTTGAAGTAATTGTTAAATATCATACATCAACTTTTGATAACAATCCAAACCCCATCTTACCAAATCTGATGTCATTTGATCTAATGGTCGTTGAATATTCGCAAACATACACATTTAGTTCCAATCCACTTTTTCCTATTATAACTTTTTTTTTTAACGTTATTAGTATCGTTAGTTCATGAGCTTTATTATTATTTTAATTTACAAACTTTTAATTTTGATATATTAGTCGCTGAACAATCGATTTCTGACAATTTTGATGTCTCACACTAAAATCGACAAACAATCTATGAAATATAACATAGTTAATCATATCCTCACATAATAATTGAAAACTTTAGTTCCAATGCAAAAAAGTTGTGGTTGTTAACAGATTTTAATAGTTTAATATAGAGAAATTTTTGCATAAAACAACATAATTCTTTCCCTAAAAATTTAAGTTATCATGCCAATGTGTACATGACTATTTTCATTAAATTTTAAAAGTCGTTTGTTAATTTTAGTATTAGCGAGGGACTAAAATTGTAAAAAAAAAATAAAAAAAAAGATTATGGATTAATATATTAAAATTATAAGTTCAGGCCGAGCCTTTTTTTTTTTTTTTTCGAATTTGAGCAACTTTACATATCTAATCATACTTTTCGAAGGAAATTGATAACGAACAAATGAAAAGATTTCCGAAAGTTCTTTTTTAGCAGACAATTTGGCTACATATTGAGTGAAGATCATGATTTTACTTATGGCAAGGTACCTTAGTAAAGGGTAATAATTAGGTGAACCACGCACTCTAGTGATGCATTGTCATCATTAAGGATATGATTATGTATGGCTCGTGCTGAATATATAAAGCAAAACAGCCTTGATTTGTGGTGATAAATTCTTGCAATCTTCCAAGAATTTTAGAATATTACAATTTGGATTCTCATGGATAGTAGAAGAATGGAAGAGGTTTGCAAAAATTTATGGCATTTCTCTTACAATACGTCTTAAAAAGATTTTATTGAAGATCGTAAAGGAAGTTTGAAAATGGACACAGATCATCTATTTATTTATTTATTTTTAAAAATAAATTGTTAAATTTACTCATAAAGTGTATAAATCTAATTTTTTTTATCGTTTATTTTTAATTAACACCATTTGACTAATATAATTATGTAACTAAAAAGAATATTAATCAAAAGTAATGAGTAAAAGTCTTAACTCATATATTTTATGAGATTTTTATCTTATTTTCTCATTTATTTGTGTTCCAAATATTTTAAACAAACTACATTAATGTTGTGAACACGAACATTAAAACGAAAAAATTAATTAAAAAACATATCAAATTTTTTAAATATCATGATATAAACAGAAAATCTATGGGCTTATTTGGTTTTTGAGTTTAAATAAGTGATTTTAATATTTTATTTAAATTTTGTGAGATAACATGTTAGACGAGAACTTTCTAAATTTAAATTTTTTATGTGAAAAATACTGTAACGTAATTAAAATCACACGTCTAGAACTAATGAACCAAACCCAACCTATACATAATATGGACGGTGAAGGACTGTTTATGAGTACTCGAGTTTCTAATTTTCTATTATATTATTATTCTGCCAGATACACTACACGTGCTTTCTTAAATAATTTGCCTACCGACAGGAAATTCCTTATGAAAGCATCTACAGGTCACAAAGTAAATGGACAGAAGCTTAAAACGTTCGACACATTCTAAAACGATCACATTTAGGCTTAAACACATTCCACATGTTAATAATGTTATTTTTAATATTTTAAAAAATTCAATCGGTCAAAAAGGTTCGAATTTCCTTCTTTTTTTTTTCGAACTTTTTACAATATACGCAGCAAAAGCTTTTGTTTATTTTTTTAATAATGTAGGATAGATCGTTAAATTAGACTTCTTTTAAGTGTTTAAGACCTCTTAATTTAATGATATTGCGGGTTTTGAGGGGTAGAATTTAAGGCTATATTTATTTCACTAATTTGAGTTTAAAATTTAAATTTTATTATAATAAAAAGCTCTCAGAAACAGTCACATTTAACTTTTTTATTATAATAAAAAATTTTCACGTAAAATCACATATCAACTTAAATTAAAAACTTGAATTATTAAACTAAACAGATCCTAAATAAAAAAATAGAGATTTCAATGCTGTCATGTATTTTAAAAAAAAAAAAAAGACCGGAGAAAAAAGAGAGACTATTATTAAAATAAATCGTGGAGACGACGAACCTTAATAGTAGAGGAACTCTTCTAGCTAAATAAATATACGCAAGCACCAACACAACTCCCCAAAAATTCCCAAAAAAAAATAAGGACAAACAGTATATGAAGGCAATTTGTCAGTGATATTGATTAAAAAGATGAAATAATCTGGTAGATTACCGATGATAGTCTCACAGATTATTCTGTACTAACAGGTCACCATCAACGGTCGGTTGTCACTGTTGATTCCAATGACATCCGGTAGATTTTCTTCGACTGATGGAGTAGTTTCAACAGAGCACATTGGGGTGTTAGAAATCCAAGCCCATTTATTGAAATGGCAAAAGTCGTAACATGCTTAATTCTTGGGTCTTAAAATTGCATGAATTTTAATTTTTAATTAATATCATTTATAGTTGAATAATTATATTAACAAAAAGGTACTAATGAAGAGAATAAACAAAAATTTAGATTCATACATAAATCATATCAGCTATATATGGAAATATTGGTTGACTTTTCATATAATAATGTGTAAGAGACACTATCCATGACTTTCAAAATCATTGTCTTAAAAAAAATATTTACGAGGATTTCAATTGTAATATTTATGTTCCTCTAAAAAAATCGTTATATTTAATTATTTATGTTTAAAAATGTTTCAAATCTCGCTTGTTGTCCTGTGCTCGTATAACGTAAGCGTTTTTCTTCTTAGTGTTTGGTTTTTTTTTTTTTTTTCCAGAATGAGAAAAACTTTATTATTGTTGAGATTTGTTAATCATTTATTTATAAAAAGATAAAACTAAAATGAAAATGGGGGTAAGGGTGGGTGTATGAGAGGATCAAATTCGAAATGATGTAAAAAGTATATATAAAAGGATAGATTTTTTAAAATATATATTAGAAAATATTAATCAATTGGACTATATTCAAAAATTTTATGGGTGTAAAGATACCACAAGTTCTTAAACCTATTAAAGACCAAACATACATTGTGGTTAAAATCAGAAGGTCCTTGATATGAGGCACAATACCATGAGAGCATTAGCACCATTACACTCGCTTCATAAACATTGGGGTATATCAATGGGTTTTAATGTAATTTTAATGCATAACAAAATGTAGAAAGTATAAATTAATGAATTTAATAAGTGCAAATACAATTACTCTTATTATTTTCTTTTAAAAAATTCTTTTAAAAGTCTAGGCCAGCCCCGAACTTTTACCTCTATTGTGGAGTGTTGGAGGAACAAAAGATGTGCTACAATCTTGTTTTATATCTAAATGCCACCAACTGCTTATTTGATATTTCAAAGGGAGATTGAGGGAAAGAGGATTCGATTTGTTAGGAATTAAAATTAATATGTCAGTGTTTAAGAGAAGTTAATAAATAGGCTAATTTAGAGTAATTTCAGATTTACAACACTTGAAATTCCACAAGTATTCTTTTAGTAAATCCTGGATTTAGAATTTATTATTAGATTTTGTACGGTTATTGAAAAAGTGTTGCTAACTTGATAAATCTTATATTTAACAAGTATATTCACGATTTACTATTAGCATTTTTGTATTATTCTTTTTCAAGTAATTCTAACTTGATAAATCCTGAATTCTCCGTGTATATCTAGAGTTTACCATTAGAATTTGTGTATAGTTCTTAAATAAATGATGCTAACTTAGTAAATTCTGAATTTACCAAGTATATCTAGAATTTACTATTAGATTTGTGCCGTTCTTTTTCAAGTGATTCTAGCTTAGTAAATCTTGACAAATCCTAAATTTACCTAGATTTACTATGTATATCTAGAATTACCTTTAGAGTGCTGACTTGATAAATATTAGACTTACTAAGTATATCTAGAATTTACCATTAGAATTTGTACTATTCTTTTTCAAGTCTAACTTAGTAAATTCTGAATTTACTGTGTATAACTAAGATTTACCATTAGAGTTTGTACAATTCTTAAAAAAATGATGCTAACTTGGTAAATATTCGATTTACCAAGTACATCCAAGATTAACCATTAGAATTTGTATTTTTTTCCCAAGTGATTCTAACGTTGTAAATCTCAATAAATTCAAAATTTAACTGAATTTACTGTGTATATCCAATACTTACTATTAGAGTTTGTACGGTTCTTAAAACAGTAATGCTAACTTAACAAATCATGAATTTAACATTAAAATTTGTACCTTTTTTTTCAAGTGATTCTAAGCTGATAAATCTTAATAAATACTCGATTTACCTCAATTTACTGTGTATATTCAAAAATTTTCAATAGAATTTGTACAACTCTAATGGTTTACCTCAGTTTACGGTTTTTAAAAAAGTGATGCTAACTTAATAAATCTAAAATTTACTAAGTATAGGATTTATCATTAAAATTTATATTGCTCTATTTATATTGCTCTTTTTTAAGTGATTCTAATTTGATAAATCTTAGATATAACTGGATGTACCAAATATAAAATGATCTGTTAATTTCTATAGATTGGTCACAAACAAGAACTCTCCTCTTCAGAATGTATCCTCCTAACAAACAAGCATAGGTCTCAACATTCATCTCAATATCCGCAATCCCCATAGGGACTGTGAATAACAAAGTTGAAGTAAATACTACACAAGTATATAGATAATGGTCTAAAAAAACAAAAAAGGATCACACGGACAACAACAATGGATCATTAAAGACCATATAACAATCCACATGATCTCCGTCAAGTCACCTAACACAAAATACACTCACTCGTTGTATAGCCATAGGCATGTTCTGTATATGGTACGCTCACATCCTCTTCTTTTGTAGGAGCATAAAAGTTGCAAGGACAGGTCTACACAATTGCTGGTTAATGGATCCCTCAAAAAAAAAAAAATACTGATTAAGGGAGTGTAGGTCTAATCAAGCTCAAAAAAAGGCAAATCTAGCCGCTAATAATATTCATGACAAGTTTCATCTGCTCCCCATTACCTCAAGAAATCCCTCTAAACAGTTTGAACCATTTAGCATTAACTTCTACCAGAATGGTAATGAGAATCATAAAAAAGGATAACTAATCACCACAATTCTTGCACATAATTTAAATATAAATGAGTAGCAGTTCAAGATCGTCATCAGTTTATTGATAGTACTTTAAACTTAAACTGAAAGAAGCCAAAGGCACTGCCCATGAGGGCATCAAGCGGTAGCTGCTGCTGCTGCTGCTGCTTCTTCGAGCAACTGTTTCACCTTGGTGATATAGTCGTTCATTGCTTCGTCCTTGGATTTTCCTGCCAAAAAACCACGTGATTTGATAAGATATGTGCCCGAGCACCGCGATGAATGACATGAATTGTTTACAGTTAATTTTATTAAGTGTTACCTTCAACAGCCTTCCATGCATCCCACTTTGCTCTGTCCCTCAAATTAAATATTCCGGGACGGCCTGCAAATCGAGCGTAGAGGCCAAAAAAACAAAGTAAGTCACACCCTTGATTTTTATATTTTAAACGTTTATATTTCTTTCAAAACCCAATGCAAATTGATAAAAGTAACATGTGAACAATGAAAAGCAGCAGACTGCAAATATAGAGAGCAAGCTACTAACTGGTGTTCACTGGTCCAACAGTAGCTTGTTTGTACAATCCGTAGAGAATAAGCTTGTTTTCGTTGGTGGTTGACTCTGGAAGGGTCTTTGCTTTCTCAGCATACTCCTCAAACTCCTCCTGTATGAGCCGGCGAAGTGAGTTTAATAGAGAACATAGTCATTCATACTTGTCGCAAAAAGCATGAAAGAAAAATGGACAACATTGATAATGAATAGAAATGTCTATCAACCAAAAGAACACCCCTCATGATGAAAATTGGAAAGTTGTATAATACACTAGTATGTTGACAATGAATGACTTGGACCTGGGGCTTTTGGTATATTGAAAGATGAAGCTTCGATTTGAAATCTGAAGGACTAAACTTTTGATAGCTTGTAATGGTCCAATTGCTTGACTTATACTATGCCGTGCTTTTCTAGTGAACTTAAAGCATATTATTATGAAACAATGAAGCGATTGTTTTCAAGTTGCAGACTTCGAATTCTGGTAAATCTCACCACATTCTGTTAACTGGTCAATTTACACTATTAAGAGTTTTTGAATTGGTTACTGTAATCAAAATATTCCTATGTCAAATACTTAATCTTCAAATTTAATTGCAGTGAGGATAGGGGTGGGCAAAAGATCCAGTCATCCAATTCAACCACCGAAAGTTGGATATCCAAAGACTATTGGATTGGATTTGGATGGTATTTATATTCATCGCATTAAATCTGTTCAGTTGTTGGATTTGAATATTTAGAATCCACTAGCACTAACCAACACAATGTATTTCATATGCATTAATAATACACAGGGAGATAGATAAGTTTTCTTACTTTTAAATTGGAAATTGCAGTTTAAATTGGAAATTGCGGTTTAAATTGTGCATTGCGCCCAAATCTATATTATGTAAAATTAGTGCCTCACTCTTAAACAATCTTAAAAGTTAAAGTGATTACAAAGAGCATTACGAAACCGAATTCAAAAAAAAAAAAAAAAAAGTCACAAATTAGGATAGAGCTTTCCATACATGTTTTTAAACGTCAGTTTTGATCAAAATCATATCAAAATGAAAACATTATGCAAAACTGACATAACATAATACAGATCTAACGGTTCAAAAACAGATAGAGGTATCGTAAAAATCTCATAAAATAACCTTTTTCTTTTCTTCTATTAGAGAAAGCGCGTTATTCTGAAAAGAAACTTTTCAATGAACTCGTCAGGAAAGAAAAAAGCGATTCCTTTAAAGCACCCATTTTAGATTCTTCTGCCAAAAGTAACAATTTGGCATTGCATGTTGATTACACCATCCAGATTTCCAGATCTACTAAAACCACTCAAATAAAATCAAAGAACTCAAAGAAAAAGGGTAGCTTCTCCATTGTTTAAATTTCCTCTAAATCACATAATTCAAAGATTGGAAGCAGAAATCGCAATTACATAACTCAGACGAAAATATTCAGCCAAAAAAAAACCAAAAAAAAAAAAGCAAATCAGAGAGCAGAGATCTGAATCAATTCTACAACAATTCAAAAGAGAATAATACACATAAAAAAAAAAAAAAGCAAAGCGAAGAAGAATAAGAGTGTACCTGCAAGCCCATTTTTCTTCTAAGAATCCGATGCTTTGTTGATGATAATTGAGGAGAAAAGATGGGTCAGCGACGTTATTGTCGATGATGCCGTGTTAGTGTGTGTGGTCAGTGTGGGGCTTATTTATAGAGTGTTTCCACACCATGGCCACGTTCGCTGCGCTTTTGATCATGACAGATGGCCAAGTGGATGAGACGTTGTGGAGTCTTGATAGATGGTAATGGGTGGGGTGGGGTCGGCATAAATCTTGTGGGTCCCACGCTTTATTTTTTGGTTGTTTTAGTGGGACCGGAATTAATCTCCTCCTGCTTTGTGGTTCGATGGCTCCATCGTGACTTTTGATTCATAAATTTAAAATAATAATTCATAATTTTAATTTTTAAAATTTAAATTTATTATAAAAAAAATAATATAACAGAATTAAAAATTATAATTTTAAATTATTTTAAAACAAACATCATTTATATTTATACTATCTATAAAAATGAGAGGTTTTTAATATAATTATTTCTCAAATTTATCATAGTTTAATAAATTATCTTTTTAAATTTTTAATTTTAACAATTAACCTCTCAAATTTATAAAATTATTACAATATATCTTATTTTACTAAATTTACTTAGATTTTAAAAAAAATTAAAGAATTAGTAGTTGAGAAATTGAATGATTTTTGTTACACTTAGAATTTAAATGTTAGAATTTATTCTCAAGTATTTTTTTACATTAATTTAATACAATTATCGTCAAAATGAGACATATTATAATAATTTTACAACTTGAGGGGCCAACTTGTCAAAATTAAGATTTCTAGGAGCAAGTTGCTAAAATAGTACAAATTCATGAACAAATGTGTAAAATACCCTATTTGTCCTTTATTTTTTTATTAGAATATCTCTTAGTGAGCTCTTTAAATTTTAGTTGAATTCTAGCTAAAATAACAAGAAAGCTATTTTAACTATTAATTTTTTAATGAGATACTCTAACTATACTTGCTATTTTAACTAAACATAGATCATTTTAATGCTTTTTTTTAGTTTAAAATATAAATAACTACTTTTTTAACTTTTACTAACATAAAGAATAAAATAATAAAAATAACAAATAGCTAACCACTTCTTGCTAGCTGTATTTAGCTAGTGAAAAATGTTTTAGCTCAAATAGTTAACCATTTAGTTAATGGTTGGAGTGGAGAAAAGTTAAAAGAAAAAAATTAAATCATTAATTATTTTGACTAAAAACATGAAATGGTTAGTATGGCTGGAGTTGCTCTTATCATTTTTTTCCTTTCTACAACCGGCTTCAATAATCATAATTGAAGTAAAAAAAAAAATTCCTTTTTTTATTTGGCTTTCTCTAGGTGAGACCTCCTAAAAAAAACCCACCAGTGGAACACCCTGTTGTAATCGTTGGATTACTTTTTCAACGGTAAGATATGTAGAAGAACAGTTATGTGCAATACATAGTAAATTTTTAATATGGACCTATACAAATTTAACCGGTAAACTTAATCTAACAGTCAAAACAGAATATTCTATTAGTAGAATTATTTAAAAAATCTCATTATAGAGGCTCTCTTTTTATATATCTAGAGATACATAAAAGATTATTCAATAAATATATATATATATATAAGCTAAAGAGAATGTTCATCTTTTAACTACGTGTCAACCTCTCCTTTTTTTCTCTCTTCATGTTTTGTTTTTGTTATTACTTTAAACATTTTTTTCATTGTCTATTTTTATTTTTCCTTTTGAAAATTCACTTTTTTTTACAATAACATTTTCTAAAATACTTTCTTTTTCTCACTTTCTTTTAATTAAAATAACTCCTTTTAAAATATCTTCCTACTTTTTTTTTTTTGGTCAAAAGCTTCTATACAACTTTAATTCTTTTTCGATGTGATTTTTTGCAATATTTATTTCCTCTTATTCTAATTAAACTAAGAAGGTAACGTGTTTTGACGCGTGATTAAACTTACAAAATAATTCTATACGTGTGTAGAATGTGGTGCAACTAGTATAATATAGAAAGTACTAATTCTTGACAAGAAAATGTGTTAGTGAAGTTAAATTAGAGGTAAGAAAGTGAAGAAAATTATAAAGGTGAAAGGATAAAAGAAATTTAGAATCAAAGTGAGTAGAAAAAGATTACAATTATGATAGTTAAGTCTAATTCATGTGCATGGAGTGCATCATGAACACACTCATTGTGATATTTCATGTATGAGAAAGAACTATGTGTGTTCAAACTGTTTAAACACCAGCAACAACGTACTCATTACGCAACATGTTTATTATGACTAGATAAACATTAATGCCTTTTGTCATAACCATAATCCGCAACATGTTTCATAGCAATTTTATTTTACCTGCTTTGTTGCTGGTGCTTCCACGTGCAACATTTAGACTAAAACATTATGATAAATTATGTTGTTTCTGGTGAGGCTCAATTTCTTCATATTAACGTGTGAGAGTGAGGTGTGGGAAGGTAAAGTAAGCTAAATGGGCTAAGCTTAAGGCATTAGATTTAAATTAAGTGAAAGTTGAGTAAGTTTGAACCATATATTTGTGAGTTTGTATGTTAAGAACACAATGACTGGTTGAGTTGTATTTTCTTGTTTGAAGACTAACGTAATCGACCTGATGATTATTCTAAATATTTCAAGAATATATTTCTTATTTGTTGTTCTTACATCAAGTTCATAATATTCTTTGATCAAAATGTTAAAGTTGTGCATAAATGTGAGAGACTTTGGTGGATTTTCTTTGCATTCCACGGACCCATAATTAGCATCATTTACGACTATTTTCTCTTACATATTTCCTAGTATAAGTTTTTACCATATATTTTTTTTTGCCTGGACAGCCATATTTCAAATTACATTGTTCTGAAAGATACCAGAAAAAGTAAAAAGTGTAGAAGGAAAACTGTGGTTAACTAAAATAATAATAAAAAAAAAAAAGGAGAGAGAGATTCAAGTAATGATTTCGTTAAGAGGATTCATCAAACACATTCAGTTGCCTACCATAAACAAAAAGTTAAAAATCTAACCACCACTTCATGGCCTAGATCAGCACATATACACAAAAAGAGCAAAATACATTTGGTTGGATGAAGATTAGGAGAATACCAACTCCAGATTCTATTGAACAAAAGGGTACCTAGAAATGTAATACTCCCTCACACGTGAGGCTCCGTCTCTGGCAAGAATGCCTTCGAGATCTCCGATAATTCTGGCCAACCATATCTCCAAATTCCTCTGAATTTCCTTGAAGTTGTTTCCAATGGAGTCCAAGGACCGCTTTGTAGCAAGGTTTGCAAAGCTTCCAATCTCATCCCCGCTGTATTTCTTCCCAATCTCAGTTTGTAATCCCATCAGCTTCTGACCAGTTTCTGATGCATGCTGCTGAAGCCTAAATGCTTCAAGTAAGAACTCGGTTTGCCTTTGAGTACGGAAATCCAGACTGAGGGTTGAGTCGCAGGGATCACTAGCTTGCTGCAAATACAAATGTACTTATTTGAACAGATCTTCTACATTTGCAAACAGTCCATTATTTCCCAACTTATAAGGCTAAGGAAAAAGGGGAAAAGCAAAGTAAAAGAAATGTAAAATCAGTTACGTGGTTAGATTCATTGAGAAAGAGTTATTCCTTGTTAAGGGAAAGAAATTCACACGATAAATAGGATACTCGAGTTTTTGCTTAGGGCACTCAAATGAAAAATACAAAACTAGGATTTCACAATAGGTTTATCAGGTAACACATAAACTGAACTAAACCATAATAGTTCTAAGATTGTTTAGGTGTAGATGGGAAAGATTTGTTTTTACGAGTCACAATATTAGCAAGTTCGAACATTTTAGTGTATTTAATCTGCACATAACAAAACCAATTGTTATTCAGTTCTGCATGCATGAGAAATTGTTATACGAGTTTGTGATATCATTGAAACAGTAAATGTTTCACATGCTGTGGGGCATCAAAAGTTAGAACCGTCTAAGTAACATTAAGCCATTGTCTTGCATACAGAAAACCGAAGTTTCTTCAGTGATGGAGTATCCCAAAGTCAAATCACGGGATATGACTGATACTGCAAAGATAGAGGCCATAGGGTAAAAAGTGTTGGTAAATTACCATTCTTCCGCATAGATCATCTATCTTCCCTGCAAGAGCTTGATATCTCTTTGCTTGCTTCCTCATCAACGACGGTGCCTTCGATAAATTACTCTTTCCAACTTTTTCCAAATTCAGTAATTCTTGTTCAAGTAATTTCAGCTTTGAGGAGACTCCAGTTGATTCACCATCTACCTTCCAAGGAGACTCCCTTCTAAGAGGAAAGAAATGTTGCCCTTCCATTAACAACAGTTTACAGCAATACATGCTTAACATAACTATATCCAGACTTAAATGCTTACCTTGCTACAAAATGCTTCATATCATACATAGACTCCACAGATTCATACTTTACATCCTGCAACAATTAAACATTCAAAAGTCAAATGCACTGGGAATAACTTCACAACTTTAACCAAAAAGGAGTTGAATACGATATCAACTTCTTATGCTTAGCCAAGTTGGAAGAGTCAATAAAAGGAGAATGGTATTAAATAAATAAGTAAACACACACAAATGCAGAAATAATGGTCTCGAGTTTATTTTGATTTATGGCTTTGTGCTATTAATTGATTCTTTCAAAATACACCTGTAAAGTGCGGTAGAAAGTAACTTTAGAGGTGCAAGTTAATTTAGAAGGCCCAATTAGCCTGACATATTTACATTAATTGTAGGACAAGCTCCAGAAGAATTATTTATTCCCACATAAAGAAACGGCATGATATGTGTGAAAGTTTCTAAAAGCACCCTATTGCACAGACTAAATTTTTATATGTGTAAATTAATTTGAAAGAGCCAAATGGGCAATCACGGTTTCATTTGCACCGAATACAAAAGCCAACAAAATCATTATTGCAGCATAAAGCAATAGTTTTAACTTAAAGAATCAGTTTTAACAATGTCAATCTAAAAAAGTTTGTCTAAAATTCCCTTCAACAGGACATGAAGAAAAAGGAAAAGGAACATATGAAAGAGAGTTTAACTCACTCATTTTTAAGTAAAATTAGGGTTTGGTATGAGGGTTTAAATCAAAGTGATTCTGGTTTTGGTTTTGGAATCAAAACCATGATTCATGATTTTAGGTCCAAATCATGGTTCTGGAACTCAAACCAGAATCACGGATTTGAACCACTCAAAACCAAAGGGGAGGTAGTTTTAGAACCAGGGGTGGTTCTGGTTACATCACATCAGGATTCAAATCTTAAACTATAACCATCCAAACTAAATACTGATTTTGTGGAGTCGAACCAGAACTACTTTTACTTTTTGTAAACAAACACTGGTTTAAATCAGAACCATGATTCCGGTTCTAGAACCCTCATACCAAACGTCATCGAAGAGATTTTGATTTTGGAAATGTGTTCGTTTTCTGCAGAAGAAAAAAGGACAAAATGAAATTTGCTTGATTTCTTTCTAATGTGTAAACGTTGCTTGATATATCATTAGAGTGAAATAAAATAGTGGGTCAAAACATTTTCATGATATGGGCATGACTTTGAACTTAATATCACTTCACTGTCGTTGTGTTTCTTGGCATAAATTGGGTCCTCCCTGGGACAATCTTTTTTTGATAGTTGACTTAATCTTTTATTTACCAAAAGGGTGATCAAAGATTATCTTTGAACTTCCAAGTGGACGTTTACACCTTTGATTGTTTTTGTCTATGTCCTGTTCTTAGAAGCATTTGATTTTTGTTCTTATTTTTTCCAAGTTAGTTTTGGAAGTACGTTGATTTATTACTTTGTCCAATCAAAATCAGCTGCTAGAGTGTTAACACTATCATGCTTACAATGTGACATAAAAGACATTTTGATAATGTCACCGGTTCCACTAAGGTACAGGTCTATCAACAATCGTCACAAGTGAACAATATTCCAGCTAAGTAGAAAATCCAAAAGTTAGATAAGTTGCCATCAACTATTTGGACGGATAGGTGATCATTGGCTGTAATAAGCTGATTAGTCAGTTGCATTCAACTTTTTTCCTGGGCCAGCATAGCCACCAAACATCTCTCTCTCCAATCACTATTACTTTTTTTTTTTTAAATAGTGGGCGAGGGTCTTTTTGCTACCATTATATTTTGTGGACAAATGTAACTAACTCGCTCATTTTTTAAGTAAAATTTTCGTTTTAAGTAAAATTAGTATTCCCTTTGATCTAATAACTTGGTAGGAGAGTTTAAATCAAGGTGATTTTAGATTTGGTTTTAGAACCCAAAAAAGAATCTTTGAAAAATACTAATTTCGCCGGTTTCAAACACAAATCTCTTAAAAGAACATAGAAATGAAAGATAATAATGTTTACGTACTACCGAAAGCCAAACAAGAAAGAACCGAAACAGAGAAAAGGGAAAAATGGGCCAAACCTGCCAGAGAATTGCTCTCTCCGCCCAAACCTTTGGAGCCGAAGCCGAAAGAAACTCCGGCACAAACTCCTCCGAACGATCTTCACACACAACATTATCTCCATCTCCATCACATTCACCGCCATCATCATCATCGACGTACTCCGAGTTCCCGTAGACCGCCGTCTCCTCCGGCGCCGCGGCGGTCGTCCGCGACATGAATCCGATGACCTCGTCCCGCTCGGCGAGCTCGCGCTCCAGATGGCGCAGGCAGTCCCTGGAGGCGTCCTCTGCCTTCTCGAACTCGGCGATTCTGGCGTTGAGGTGCGCGATTTCCTGGTTGGCGGCGTCGATCTGGTGGAGAAGCCACTTCTCCTCCGCCTGCCAGGCGTTCCGGTGGCTCGCAAAGATCTCGACCACTCTCGCGTTCGCTTTCGAGTCCTCCTTCCTCCGCGATCTCATCTGCCTCACCTGCTCCTCCGCGTACCCTAGCCTTCCCGAGAGCTCCGACGCTTGTCTCTGCAACTGCGCCAAGTTCGTCGGAGCCAGCGCCAGGAAGACACCGAAGCTCACGCCAATGTAAGAACTCAGGAGCTTCTTCACGTCCTCGGCCAGTTGTAGTTGCCTTTTCGGTTCTGCTTCTTCTTCTCCTCCTCCTCCTCCTTCTCCTTCTTCTTCCTCTTCTCCTTCTTCTTCTGGTTCTTCTTTGTCTGCCATTGTTGATTGATAAATGTTTACTGTTGAGAGCGGGAGTTTCACTAGCGGAGTCGGAGAGAATGCGGGGGAGAAAAAGGGTGTTTGGCTTTGGACAGGAAAAAGGTCTGTTTCCTTTTGTCACTTATGACTCTGCTTGTTTTCTAAAGGAAACCTTTTGTGGGGAACCTATCCTGTAAGATGTTTCTTCTCTGGATATGGAAGTTGGGTTTACGGAATTGGGGTTTGAGTTGTTAAAAATTACACGTGCGTTATTGTTTATTAAGTTTTAATTATTGTATTATTAATAAAAACATATAAAAATCTAAAAAAAATTAAAATTAAAAAAAATTAAGGCAAGTAGGTAAAAAAAAAGAGAAAAAATTGACTAAAATGAAAGGAGCATAAAATCTTCGGGTGAAAAAAAAAAACTACTATAGCAATGCGAATGTGTTCACTATTGTAGCGTTTTCAACCAAAAGGACGTTGTTTTGGTTGAAAAACGCGTGATCAGTATTAAGAATTGGCACTTTTTAAGATGTGTTTGGTTGGGTGAAAAAAAATAAAATAAAATAGAATAGAATTTTAGTTTGATGTTTGGTTAAATTTATAAGAAATGAATGATCATTCTCATATCGGAGGAATGATTATTCTAAATTCTTTTTTTTATTTTTTTTTTATAATTACCCTTTAATATTATAATATAATTAAAATATATTATATAATAGTTATATTTTATAATATAATATAATATATAATAAAAATATTATAATAATATAGTTATAATAATATAATAATTAAT